TCTATGGTGCTTTTGTGTAAAATGCCGTAGGTGGAAAGAAGAGTTTTATAGTAGGAACAAAGATTTTTTTTCATTTGGGAAAAATATCTTTGGTTTTGAGAGAACAAATTAAAACCTTGCCCCTGCTAGAGAAGAATTTTATAATGAAGATACACATTCTTTTTTTTTTTTTTTTTAACATTCTTCGTAGTTTTACTCTTGTAAGGGGTTGGTTCGGTCTTTTTCAACATAGAAGTTGCTGAGATTTTTAAAATTAATATTAGACTTAGATTGTAACCTTTTAGATTTTGCATTGAACTCTGTGTCACATTACTTCCTAAAAGGTAATGCTTAAACATTAAATTATAGTGTGCTTTTCATGTTAATAAGGCAGAGTTTTGTAAGCTAAATTAAAACTTACTGATGCCCGGGCAAAAAGAAACACACACACACACACACAAACACACAAACACACAAAAACAAAAACAGAAACCTGAAATTCTGAAACCTAATTGTAACCATTCTCCTGATTTGGGAAACAGGGCCTTTGGGGAAGCAAATAATTTTGGTGGGTATACTCTAAACTTCAAAATAAGCATCAAGGGAACAAAAATGTTTAGGTGGCTCCAAATGCATGAATGTTTTTGTGGATCAGTCACCGAAGAGGAATATCTAAGTCAGGGGTCCTCAAACTACGGCCTGCGGGCCACCTGCAAATACAAATATTGTATTTGTTCCCGTTCTGTTTTTTTACTTCAAAATAAGATATGTGCAGTGTGCATAGGAATTTGTTCATAGTTTTTTTTTTTAAACTATAGTCTGGCCCTCCAGCGGTCTGAGGGACAGTGAACTGGCCCTCTGTTTAAAATGTTTAAGGACCCCTGATGTAAATACTAGAGTCTTGGTGCACGACATTTGTCAACTGGGGGGGTGTCCCTCAGCCCGGCCTGCATCCTCTCAGTCTGGGACCCCTTGAGGGATGTCCACCTGCCAGGAAGTGGGCCTAAGCTGGCAGTCAGCCATCCCCCGAGGGGTCCTTAGTGCTGCCACAGAGGCAGGAGAGGCTCCCGTCACCGGCGCTGTGCTCGCTAGCCATGAGCCCGGCTTCTGGCTGAGCAGCGCTCACCCTGTGGGAGTGCACTGACCACCAGTGGGCAGCTCCTGTGTTGAGCGTGTCAGTGCATGTCATAGTGACTGGTCATTCCATGTTCGGTCTATTTGCATATTAGGGTTTTATTATATAGGATTAGAACCTTTAGGAAAGTGGAATATGATGTCTGATTTGGCTGTCAGGCTGAGGATGGAAGTCTGTAAAAAGTACATGCTACAGAACTGTTTGTTTTGTCAAAAGGATTGATAGGAAGCTGGCAGACTCAGTTAATTTAAAATAGGAAGGAGTTTAGCAATTACCTTTTTAGTTCTATTCTACATCTGTCCCCCCTTTCTTAATAATGGGGCAACTGAAGCCTAAGTAGGTTATATGATTGTATTGCCCACCCACCAGTTCCATTTTTTTCTTTCTCTGTAAATCGCAGATAGGAATTACGCAATTAAAATTTGATCACATTCGCTAAATAAAATTCTTGTCAATGTAATGCAATGAGATTGCAACTCAAGCCCATTTTAAGTAAAAAATGAAAAAATACTAGAATATTATCAAAATCAATTTAATATGCTAGAACTATTTTCTTTTTATATTTTAGTTTCCAAGATACTGACTTAAAATAAAAAAATCTTTAAACATTATAATGATTTTCCCATCAATTCTGTATTTTGCCTCTTTATTTGATAATAATTATATCTTTTTATTTGATAATATATAAACAATATCATGGCATTTAATTTTGAGGTATAGTCATATACAAAGTAGGAAGCCTAACTATGAAGTATTTGTTATGTAGTAAAATGATTTGGAGGATAACTTTTTCTTTTTAGTTAAATTAGAAGCAAAGTTTATTTCCCGTTTTTTTGTTAGTTTTTCTGGAAAGTAAAAGATCTCACAATATCTCTGAAAAATCTATAATTTAGACTTTACTTTGTGTTATATTCAAATGTCTAGAAAGATGATATCAACTACCTCATAAGGATAAGTTAGTTATTTTATAGTATTTTTATTTTGCATATTTCAGTTTTTCATATTATATATCAAGAAATATATACTACATACATTTACAGATAAACATATATATATAGTGTCTCTAAAAAAGACTAAAATTTAATGAACTTATTTAGAAATGTTTTGGATTTAGGTTTCCTTTCATTTACTAAGTTAAAATATGTAAGGAACAGTTTTGAAGTGAAGAGAAATGGTTGTATACCTCACTCAATTTTTTTAGAACACAAATATGATAGTGGCTATATCATTGAAAATTAATGAGGGCTCCATCAATATGGTGCAGTGCCTCTGCATCACTGATTTATATATATTTAATGAGCCTGCTATTCTAATTTCAGGTAACTGAAGCAAACTGCATCTCCCATTAACTCTGATTTACTTTGAAACAGTTCATTTTATTAAAATATAAATGTCTTGAAATTTACCAATGTTAGTATAATTTCTTCATAAATATTTCTATAATGTTTACTTTCTACGTATAACTAACTTGTCAATAAACAGAGCATCAGTTCTGTTTCAGATAATGTTCCCAAAACAAGTTGTTTTATTTGATCTTATTTTTTGGTACTAATCTGTGGTGTTAGAGTAGAAAATATGAGGGAAAATAACTAAAAAAGTAATAGGATTGTGAAGTGTGATGTTATATTTTTGACATCTATTGGAGCATATATGAGAACCATTTGAGGATGTATTTCTATATTCTTTGGCATTAAAAATGTAATTTTAATATTTACTTTATTTTTAGTTTTATTTTAAAATACTTTAAGGTATATTTGCTTTATAGAAAATATATTACAATATTTTTGACAAGAAAAGATTATGCATAATATTTTTATTGAACATTTATTTTAATTTTTGCCTTCTGATTCTTGTGTTGCCCATACATGCAAATGAAGAATTAGGTAGAAATCAATATTATATAATGTGCAGTTTTACGGAACAGGAATTTGCTGAGCTACATATTATTTTATTTTCTAAAAATGCTAATGTTGCCAGTCAAATGAATACATAATTGATATCTTAAAATTTAATAAAATATGTTGTTAGTAGATAAATATTCCTTATCCATTTTTGCTCTAATCCCAATCAATTAATAGCACAGGGAGTGAATTTCTTTAGAAAGTTGAGGTTTATAAGCAAAAATTTAGACAAAAACTTACTCTTAAGGTAGGTTAAATATAATTTTTAAGATCTAAAGTGCAATATGTTACCATGGATGTTTCTGCATTATTCAGATTATGACTGTCTTATTTCCTTTAATTGTAACTGGCACATTTATTAATATTTAATTTCTTGTGGAGGTTAATTGCAAAAAGCAGTCTATGTAATGTGCTGCAACTAAATGCAAAAACGTACAATTTATAGTAGGAATGGTGTCAATAATAATAAATTGCCACAGCTAGTGTAAGTTTAGTGCTCGTAATTCCCCCTTGGGAAATATATTATTTGTGTCTCCTGTTGGCTTTATGTATTTTGCGTTTATATAATTTGGAATTAGAATAGAAACTAACATTTATATATTATATGTAGAAGTTAGAATGTAACAAATTAAGAAATTATTGAAAACATATGGCCAAAGTAGATTGATTAATAAAATACCTAACAGAGGACAATTATATACATATGTAAATACCAGGGTTTTTTCCTACTAAAATACAGAAACAGAAATTAAAACTGTGTTTTTGATTATATTATTTTTACTAACACTGTGTTCCCAGTTGCTGTACTCATTTATGGGATCTTAGTTTCTAGATTATGCTTATAGAGAGACATTTTGGTGCAGTGGTTAAAAGCATCAGCTTTGGAATAAAAGAAACTTAAGTTCTTGTGCTACCATTCACTAGTTGTGTGATCTTTAGAAGAGTTTTTGACACCCCCCTGCCCCCCCACTCTCAGATTCCTAAATCTCTAAAATGGTGATAAAAAGAATATTACTGCCCTGCCTGGTTTGGCTCAGTGCACAGAGTATTGGCCTGCGGACTGAAGGGTCCCAGGTTCGATTCTGGTCAAGGGCACATGCCTGGGTTGCAGGCTCGATCCCCAGTGGGTGGGGGAGGGCGTGCGGGAGGTAGCTGATCAATGATTCTCTCTTGTCAATGATGTTTCTCTCTCTTCCTCTTCCTTCCTCTCTGAAATCCATAAAAATATATTTAAAAAAAGAATATTACTTTACAGGTTTGTTGTGAAGATTAAATAAGTGGCAAGTTGTACAAAGTGCTTGGGATGATGTTATGCCTGGCATGTAGCAGCTAATATTTTTTGGGCACTTAATTATTATTAAGAGTGATGGTGTCAATCTCAACTATTATGTAGTGTTTTTTTGTGAAAAATTATAAAATATTTGCACTAATAGAGTCTTTTAAGTATGCTAAGGGTGCTGTTCAACCATATGTAACCTCAGCTTGCAATTACTATGCATTTCTTTTTTGTAAAAATTAAACACAATGAGGATTGTGCCATATGACTTCCTTTGCAATTTAGTTCATTCATTTATCAATATACTAGAGGCCCGTGCACTAAATTCGTGCACTGCGGGTGGGGGATGTCCCTCAGCCTGGCCTGTGCCCTCTCGCAGTCCAGGACCCCTCGGGGGATGTCCACCTGCTGCCCTGCGGATCTTGCCTAAAGCAGCAGTCAGACATCCCTCTCGCAGTCTGGGGCTCTTGCAGTTCAGGATCCCTCGCTCCTTACTGCCCGCCTGCCGCGGAAGCAGGAGAGGCTCCCGCCACCGCTGCTGTGCTCGCCAGCTGTGAACCCAGCTTCTGGCTGAGTGGCACTCCCCCTGTGGGAGTGCACTGACCACCAGGGGGCAGCTCCTGCAATGAGCATCTTCCCCCTGGTGGTCAGTGCGCGTCATAGTGACCGGTCATTCCGCTGGTCGTTCCACTATCCGGTCAGTTTGCATATTAGGGTTTTATTATATAGGATTGTGGATAACTTCTCATGTTTGAGCATATAGATGTATGTCATTCTCTTTTTTTGTTTTTAAGTTTTTTTAATTTTTCAATTACAGTTTACTTTCACTATTATTTTGTATTGGTTTTGGGTATATAGTAAAGTGGTTGGATAATCATATACTTTACATAGTAGCCTCCCACTCCAGATATTTCCAGTACCCAACTGACACCATACATAGTTATCGCAATATTATTGACTACATTCCTATGATGTACTTGCAGAGCATTCTAGCTTTTGAAAATGTAATACTGTTGACCCTTGAACAATGTGGGGGGTGAGGGGTGCTGACCCCCAAACAGTTAAAAATTCTCAAATAACTTTGACTGTCACCAAACGTAACTACTAATAGCCCACTGTTGATCAGAAACCTTACTGGTAACATATATAGTTGATTAATTCATATTTTGTATATTTTATTATACTGTATTCTTACAATAAAGCAAGTTAAAGAAAAAATGTTAAGAAAATTGTAAGAGAAAAATACATTCACAGTGTTTATTGAAAAAAATATCTGTGTATAAAGGACCCACACAATTTAAACCTAAGTTGTTCAAGGGTCAAGTGTAATTTATGTAACCTGTCATATATTAATGGAAGTTTTGGTTGTTTCCAGATGTTTAATATCACATGTTTTCAGTGTACATTCTTATCTGTGTGTATATGTGAGTATATAGGAGAAATTTCTAACAGCAGAGTATTAAAAATTTTGGTAGGTACTACCAATCTTTTTTACTTATTTTGCTTTTTCACCTTTATTGAAGTAGAATTAACATTCACTAAAGTGTACGTATTTAAAGCAATATAATTTAATAAGTTTTGACATATTTATTCACTTGTGAAACTATGACCACAATTAAGATAATACATATTTTTATCACCCCCTTCCCAAAGTTTCTAATGCCCTTTTGTAATCCATTTTCCCTCTACTTTCATCTCAAGGCCATAACTGATTTGCTTTATCTTATAGCATAGTTTGCTTTTGCTATAATTTTACATAGAATTTTATAGTCTGTATTCTTTTTTACCTGTCTTTTTTCACTCAGCTTTCTTATTTTGAGAATTATACATGTTTTTGTGTGTATCAGTGGTACATCTTTTTCAATGTGTGGCTTTTATTGTATCTTTAAAATATC